CCCGAAAGCCCCTCCCCCCGTAAATCCGCCTGTGAAAACAATTAACCGAACGTCTGTGGCTGTGTATGATCTTTAAAAGAACCAGAAATTTTCATTATCAATACCAGTTGATTTCAGTATTTTCAGCGCTGAACTATACGCCATTCTTAACTCCATAATATAGAACGAAAAGACATATATCAACCAACAAATAGTTATTCTGACAGACTCACCAACTGCATGTAAACATCTAAAATTAAAATCAAAATAAAGCACTGACAGACATTTCCTTTAAAATTATATCACTAATATATAACGCCAGCAACAATTACTTTTTCCAGTGGGTGCCGGGAAACGTAGGAATATCAGGAAATGAAATGGTAGACAAAACGGCGAATCAAAACCAGCTACATGGAATAAATGCTAAGGTTCTTTTATTGGATTTGATAAGAGTAGTGAGGGGATAAATACTGGCAACATTTCTACGACTGGGAATGTGCCTCGAAGGGTAAGAACCATCATGCAGTTCAACAGAAGATAGCACTAGTTCCATGGTTTGCGACTCTTAAATCTCATCTCGACCGCTATAGCTTAGTAAAGCTGACCAGGCTTAGGATAAATCATGGTAGAACAAATAAATATCTACATCTAATGGGTATAGCTAAGAGTGGTCACTGTCCAACATGCCAATGCCTGGAGGATCCAAGACATTGCCTTCAAGTTTCAACAGACAGATCGCAAACGGATGATGGAGCGAACTTTCCTCGGTCGATGAATAAAGATAACGCCCGTGATTTGAAAAAGTTTTTCAATGACATAAAAGCAATTATATAATAAAAGTCGTATTTTATTATCATTCAATTGTTATGGAATTACTGTTATCTCAGTTTTAGTATTAGTCTTTCTAGTAATTCTATATAAGTTAAAATCAATAACCATGTATCTAGAAATATTCAGTTTAATTCCATCTTACAATGACAATTAAAATATTTTATTGACGGAATAGAACTTGCTTTGACGGGTCTTAAAGCAAATAAAGATTTTTTAAAAAAGGAAACCTTTAACAAATAAAACAAACATCATAGCCTAATTATGTTTGCTAATTATTTATTTTCATTTTATACTTCATACTACATACCTATTTTAATAATTAAAAATCATTACTAGCTGAGTTGCCCTTGTCAACATCATTTAATTAGTCAAACACTAAAACCTTCCTATATAAGATTATGTTTATTTCAAAATCTCATTACATTGTCAACCCAAAATTAATATTTACATTATTAAAACCATCTTTATGTATTGCGAAACTAGTTAATAAATATTATATTAAAATTAAATACAATCACAGCCCTATTATTAATTCACAATTTTTTTGAAACTACTAACCTGCAAATTCGAATACATATATTTACTGCTTTTAATATTAAAATAAATTAAAATTTATTATTTATTTTATTAAGTTAGTTTGAAAATATATTGTAGGGGCGCCCTGAAACATGACGAGGTGGCCGAGTGGTTAAGGCGTTGGACTGCTAATCCAATGTGCTCTGCACGCGTGGGTTCGAATCCCATCCTCGTCGATAATTTTTTATTTTAAAAAATAATAATTTAAAAACTCCGTGTTACTGACATATATATGTTATTGTATAGTTAATCTTTTTTCTTCGATACAAATTTAAATACGTTTTTACATTAAAGACAAAAATGGTTGGTTATTCTATTGTAATAGAAAAAATATTCGTTGCTATTATTTACTGTAAGTTTATAAAAATATATTTTCTTTTTTAGTTTTTTCAACTTAAAAAAAAAATACAAATTAATTACCGTAATTATGAAAAATAAAAATTAAGCTATCAAAACAATCTATTTTTTTTTCATTTACTGATGAAATATTTAACTTCAGATCATTATTTATATAGAAGTCAATAGAAAATAGAAGTTCAATATTTTTTCGAACTGTTCCATGCAGAAAAAAATTAAATATTTTTCTATATATTTTTAGTTACTTATCCAAGCTATATATGATATTAATATTTTATTTTCTTAATTAAATTATAAAGTGAATGAAAATATTATCAAAGTTTGTAATATTGGTTCAAGTTTCTTGTACTATAGATGGATCTATAGCCATTCTCACACCGTGGTCAAAGCAAATTTTAGTAATTCTTACATCGGTTTAAGGTATCTATATTTAATTTTTTTTTTTTAATTTTGAACTATTTTAAATTTAAATATATTGCCTGAGTTATGTTATATATTTCTAATCTATAGGTGCCAAAGTATCATGAATTCTCAAATTTCGATTTATTTATTTTTAATTATATATATGTTTTAAAAAATAGTAATATATTTTTTAGGTGAACATTTTTCTGAAAAAAATTATACTTCGTGGTAAATTGAATGAACCGTACGAAAGAATAGTATAATAGCTATATCACTTGGTCCATAATGAATAAAATAATATATTTGAAACACATTATTAAATATAATAATTTTTTATTATTATATTTTTTAATATTTGATTTAATTACTTAAAATAGTTTTTTTTTCTATTGGGAATGTCTTTCACTCCCTTTTCTTTTTGTCTTCTTTAATCAACATTCCATAATTTCTTTTCTTGAACTGTTGCCTTAATGAATAATTTTATAAGGTTTTTTTAAATGCAATGTAAGATAATCGATAAAATAAATAAATAAAAATAATAATAAAAACACTAATCATATATAGAAAAAAGCAATATTCAAGGATGTCGAAAGAAACAGAAATCTTATTACAGGCAGGTGGAATCGAAACAGTCAAATATGTTGTTTATTGCAAATCTTGAGATTGAAAACGAAACAGGCATTACTTCTTTGTTCTTTGCATCCATCAATTCCTTTGTAGAAAATAAAGGTGCCAAAGAAAGTATAAAGATAACGGAATAGTTTTTCTTTATTTTTATTTTTTTATCGGATGTTTAGGTAAAAGATATTTTATAAACTACTATTATTCTATTTCATTCTGTAAAGAATTACGTTATGGGGAATAAACCACAAAAGTATTCGAAAAAGAGAAAGAAGAAAAGTTAACAGAAAGTGACATTTTAATTTTAAAAATCTGTTGCGACGCATTAAAAAACATTCAACAGAAATTAATTTTTAAATAATCAATAGATAGATTTTCTATTTTAATTGGGGGGAAGCGATAGACCCCCAAAACAATCTTGAAAGTTTACATTATGTATAAAAATTATGAATCATAATTAAAATAATTATTGCATAATACTATATGTCTGTTCACCAGAGGTAAAGAACACCATATCCCTTTTACTTCCCCTTACCTATATATGTAATATATAATAAGGGGAAGTATTGCGATCGTGAAAATTTTCGAATCTCAGATTTCAAAGCAAATAAACGTTTTGAGGTCCCCTGAGTCTAAATAACCAAGTCCCGAAAAATAGTCTGTGTGTGTGTTAGCAGTCTAGCTCAAAAACGAAAAGTCGTACGAAAGTGAAATTTCATATTTAAGGTTTTTATATACCTGGAATGTTACAACAACTTTTTCGTAAAAATCAACTTACCGGAAGTGCCACTTTATTTCAAAGGTGAAACGCATTTTTACAATTTTCTCAAAAACGGCTCTAACGATTTTGATTAAACTCGGTTTATCATTGTATATTTAAGTGGTCTTTAACATCATTTAGGTCTTATTCCCATTGATGTCACTTTACCGTGCTTAATACTCAATGTTCATGTACGTCTTTCTCTAAAGTATCTTTAATATATTTTATTTTTTTAAAATCTCTATTTTATTGAATATAGCTATAAAAGTGACTAAATATGAAGTTTGAAAGAATATGATAATTGGAAACTGGAGAAAAAAAGAAAATGCCCATCCAGGTTGAAAATGAATCTCCGAAAATAACAGTCAGAACGTATAATATATCGTTGGAAAGCGGAGAATTTTAGAAAAAAATAATATCAAATAAATAAAGTTGTAGATAGTAACGGAAAATGACGAATAAAGTATAAATAATAATTTCTGAAAACTAACATTATTTAACATAAATCACATGTTTCCAACGAAATTAAATGAAATTTTCTTACTAATTGTAAACTTTTAAATTCTTTTCTAAGTTTGAAAAAAAAATCATTTGAAATCCACCGAATGTCATTGCTTAAAATACTATTTCATTTTACTTGTGTGAAAGAAGTGAAACTTAAAAATATTTCATGGATATATTCATAACCTTAAATACATTTATTGTAATTTAATATCTCTAGATATGATATTATATTTATATAATTGGGTATCTATCGACCATTTATTCCGAAAAATCATCAAAAATTTATTTAGAAAATTATATTAGTGAATAATTTGACGAATTTTCCCTTTGACGAAAATCTCAACATTATCCAGTTACAATTAGTGTGACAACTTTTTACCTATCCATGGCAGGCAATAATCTCTTAGTTTCATTTTAGTAAACTTTACATTGGACAATAGCAGTTTAATAACTAATAGTCCTACAATCCATAATAGCTTATAGGTTAAATACTGAGATGTACTTTCAAATCACTCTAGGCGTATATGACTAACTCAGGTTCGAATCCCGGCTCATGGCCGAAAAATTATTTATTCTGTTTCATTGCCTGTGGATCGATCCTGGGTAGGTAGACCCTCCTGGGGCAAACCTCTATAAGTTGGTCCCCTTAATTAAAATAATTAATTACTGGGAAAAACCTGGCGGTTGAGCGTGATCTCGGTCAAATCACCTCCTTGCACAACCGTAGACCAAGAAACAGTCCTTTCCAGTCCTAGACCCTTCATGGGTTGTAGTGGTATAGGTCTTAAAAAAATTACAGTTTTACTACTGCTTTGGCTTGTTAAAATATCGATTATAACCAAGTAATATTAATTTCCACAAAAACATTGTCATTACCATGTGATAGTTAAAAATATAAAAAATCAAAAAAAAAAAAAAAATTAAAAAACCTTGAAAAAAGGTTTCAAATAGAAACCTTATCTTCAGTAAGATGCATAGGTTTCTGATTCACGCATTAAGAACCCGTTCCAATCCCAGAACAGTCGCTTCGAAACTTTCAAACGATTTATCGACTGGTTTGGGAGACCCAGGATCGGGAGCTGGTAAAGGAGGAGGAGGTGGAGGGTCCATCAGGAACACTGGAGGCGCCTTCGGGAAGCGCGAAGCGGCCCTCGAAGGGGAGTACTTCCACAAGATGCAGAAGAAGCAACTCCAGAAGTTGAAGGAAATGTTGGATAGGGCGGAGGGCGACCTGGAAAAAGCACAAGAAGCAGTAAATAAGACGAAAGAGAGGTTAAAAGAAATTAAGGATGTGCAAAATGATATAGAGAAATGATGGATGATAGTGGAGAAATGTTTTCCATTCTAAAACAAATTTTTTTCATAATCTTTTTTCCTATACTATTTCCAAGTCATGGTTTACAATTTTCCAAGAGAGATTTATCATTCCGCATAAAGTGTAATTCTTTCCAATGGAAAGTAACTTCCATTAAGAAAAAAAACAACAACTCGAGAAGTGGAAACTAGAAGGCAACGCGAGACCAAAGAGCGGATGGGAGGAAAGAAGAAGATAAAATCCGAAAAGATAATGTCTTCCCGAGGATTTGCAATAAAGGTTTCAATTTTGAAACAATTCCGTCTATGTTTTTTTTTTAGATAGTACTTTCAAGGCTCTATTCTATTCATTTGTAAATTAATTTCAAATCTAATTTAATCCCTTTCAGGTCAATTTAATCTTTTCAGGGTCTACTTTAAAATTAAGTAGAGGATTTTTTAAATTTATTTATTGAAATTTACAACTGTACTAAATAAAACTAATAAATATGAACAAATCAAGAGTAATGACATGGACAGACATTTAGAGATACTACCCTATGATAGCAATCCCTAAACAGTTCTAAGTAAGAAGATCACAAGGCTATATTCTTTTCAGATGCATAGGAGAATTAACAGGAATTGAGGAAGAAGCAAGAATGGAAATAAATGGATTTATATGGAACTGGAGTTTATCATTAAAGTATAGAGATCTTGCTTGGGCTAAATCAACGACATATGGAACATTAGGGTCTTTATGAATGATTGAAGGAAGGTAGTCGACTGTTTTACATAAATATTCAGGATGCTGTCATAAGGTTTTTATTAGTGCCGACGTTTCAACCCAAACACGTGGGTCATCATCAGGACTGAAAATTTTTAAATACAATCACTGAAATAATATTATACGACTAATAATGAAAATATATAGTGATTGATGGTACATGAATATTACTAATTACTAATATATTCAAGTATTAACACGTTTGGTAGGTAAATGTGAGGAGTCATAGGAGGAATTCCCAGTTGTCCTTTTTCCGATAGAAAAAGTTAGGTAAACATAGTCAAAGGGGGCGAGGGAGGTGACATTTCTGTTTGTAGAATGTAAATAATTTACTGACTAAATATTTAATGTTATCTCTCTGATTGTAGTTAATAATGTTCAGCCCTGATGATCACCCACATTTTTGGGTTGAACCGTCGGCACTAATAAAAACCTAATAATGACTGCATCCTGGATATTTATTACCCACATCTTTATGAATGGTTTTATTTGTGATAAAATATATGGCATTAAGGATTTAACGTAGGATTTTGGATTGGATACGATAGGAATTCGATTGTTTGTCTTGCACTTTCAAGACCAAGACCAGGACTGGTAAAAAAAAAATCTATTTTTGAAATAAAAATTAAGGCAAAATACTTGACAATCAGTGCCTAATAACAATCTTAGTTACTATATATATATATATATATATATATATATATATATATATATATATATATATATATATATATATATATATATATGTTAATAATTGGTATAACCAATATACTTTTGCATTTAACTCATCTAATTTTTCATTCGGCTTAGTTAGGTTTCTCCTATCTAAAAGATTACAGTAATATCTCCATAGCAATAAGCTATTAAGTAACTGCAGGACCACGGGCGGATGAGGAGGGCTGAAGCTCCCTCCCCCCCAAAAAAAAAAAAAAAATGGTAAAATATAACCATGTTTTATGGGGACAAATACTAAAAAATCATCACTTAAATTATTTTTGTTCGTGTAATTACATTTAAAAGGAGTTTAGGAATCACTTAAACACCATTCCATAGGGGTAGTTAGTTTGTTTCTTTTTTTCCAAAGTAATTATCGTTATTTTTATGAAGAAAAAGCTTTCGGGCTGAAGCCCCCCCAAAATTAAATCTTGGATCCGCTAGTGTGCAAGACTGTTGTGACACTCTTGAGCAAGACCATGACCACGACAAGACTGAGTTTGCAGGACCAAGATTTGTCTCGGTCTCGCATTTGGGCAAGACTACTGGTGATGGAAAAAAAAAAAAAATCTTTTTCTATAAATGACACTTCACTTGTGAAAGGAGCTTTCGAAGAAAAAAAAATCCATAAATGTTGTAATAACTTGTATTATGCGTGATTGGTTAAATTTCATATTTTTAGTAGTTTTTGAAATTTTACCATGTAATCAAAGAAACTTTCGCGGACCGTAGTTTGGAGAGACTTCTAATCTAGACAAACATCCCATCTACACGTTCGTGTTTCAGTTTGTGTACTGTGTAAACGTCGCATAATTTTTTTATTTTATTGACTATTCCATACATATTGTTACCAAGGTAACCCCATCACTTAATTTTTTATTTTGTTGAAATTCATTTAATTGTATTTTAGTTATTATAAAATCCTTTTTTCTTACCCCATTTAGATTTCTAATATCAATATTTTTTTTTCTTATTAATGTAATTTTTTTAAATATTACTATATTTTTGCCAAAATAAGCAATATCATAACCAAATGACCTGTTATCAAAAATAACATGTTTTTTTGAATGGGGTGTGTTTTAAAATTTATAAATAATCTCTTCTTTTGCGGTGTTTGATAAAGAAAGAAAAAGAAAAAAAAAAGATAGATTCGTTTATGACATTTCTAAGAAGAGAATAAAATTTATATTATACTCCATATGACTATGTAAAAGTAAATAAAGTTTAAATTCGAAACCATTTTCCCGATAATATGCTTAGAATTTTGGTTGATGGCACATTTAGATCTCGTTTCAGACCTAGCAGGCTCATTTTCGATCGGACCAACAACTTCGCGAAAAGTTCGGACGATCCAGGATCAAGAGACGGAAGAGGGTCTTCGGATGGAAATGGAGACTACTTCAACGCGATCGACGCTTTAAAGAAGCGTGAAGCAGACATCGAAGATGAATATTTTGCCAAAATGCAGAAGAAGCAACTGGAGAAACTGACTGAAAGGCTGACGGGAATAAAAAAACGTATAGAATACAAAGAAAGACCGCAAATTTCCCCGAAGATGCCCAAATACGTTGATGAAAGCGAAGAAAGTGATGAAACCGATCCGAAGAAAGGAAGAGGTGGAAAAGATGATTGATGAAGGTGCCGAAAGCATAATAAATCCACCAGTTGAATGTTAAATAAAGGTTTTTATGTCAAAATATATTTACAATTCATATATTTTCTTCTTTGTTATTGTAACACTCACAAGTTTTTAAATTTAATCCTATCGTTTACAAATATAACGATATCTAATTCAAGTGTAATTCTTTTTATACCAAATCTAACCATTTTCAAGAACAGATGTAACCTTTAACATATAAAATTTAACTCAATTGGGGTTATATTTAGGTACTATTTCCCTGAAACTGCTCGCTGGAGTTGTTATAACCTACTTATAACCTTCGAACATTTCGTTCTATCTTCAAAGATAAGAAAATGGACTTACTACCGCTTTTTTATTTATTTAATATCGTTTGGATTTAGGTATATTTGAATTTCGCTGTAAAATACTGTTAGTGGAATAAATAAATAATCTTCTTACTTGAACCTTAAAAAAAATAATTTACTATTGCTTAGGTTAAGTTTTAAACAATACTTCTTATAAATTGCCACACTTGAAAGAAACATAGGAAATAAAACGTGACTGTTATCATCAAAACAATATGATATGATAACATAACTTAGAACAGCCAACAGCTCCACTGCTTCAGGAGCAAAGGAACTTAAAATTAGTAATTATTTTGTAAATTTTTAATTTATGCATAGCCACACTAGTATTTATCCTGTACTTATAATTTCTTCTTAAGAGACAACAGTTCCAGAATAATAAAACAATGTTTTCATTTTGTCCAATAATTGAAGTTTTTTTGCAATTGGATCAAACTATCTCATAAACTAAAAGTCGGACCTGCATAATGTAAGCAAGGGAAATATTCAGCATTTCATCCTCTTTGACGCTGTTTTAGAGAAGCAAAAAGGAAACAAGGAAACAAAAATTATCTTATGTATTACTTCTTAAATATATATCCCTTTCCCGGCTCTTAGGAGTGATGGATTTTGACGAATAAGGTATCAATAGACAGGGAATATCACGTAGAGTGCGCGAATCATAATTTTGATTCCTAATTTTATACCTGGACTCAAATAAAAGTGAATGTGAAAGAAAGTGGGAGGTTTCAAACCGTATGATGGTGCGGTCTCAACGAATCGAGACGTTACAAATAGAGTCATAATTGGGGAATAACTCGAAAAGGACACAATTTTTGGCCAAATATGCATGAGTATTTCAAATCTTAGTAAATTCCCTACCAAACGTAAAAAAAAAATCATCGAAATCGGACTATGTGGTGCAAAGATATAGCGTTCTAAACATTTAGTATTAATTCTACTTTAAAGATTTTTTTCTTTTTTTCTTGATTTGGATTGTTCAAAAACTTTAAATCTATTGTAGTAATGATTGTTTTCATCAAGTAGATTTTATTAGAATTTTTTTTTTAATCTTTAAAATTTTCAAGGGTATATATTAATAATAAAATTCATAATATGGAGGAAAAAGCTTTTTTTTTACCCTTATATATACTCCGTGCTTGGATCATTTAAATTAATTAAAGCATGGAATAAATATATAAGGGTAAAATAAAGCTTTTCCTCGATATTATAAATTTATTAGTAGATATTCTTATTTAACAAAAAATTATATAAAAGCATTTCTTAATCTACTCTATTTTCTCTTCTGCTCTTCATTCGGAATTTAAAATTTTGGGCAATGACCCTTTTCTTTCTGAGACAGTATAAATTGTATCAATAAGTAATTATTCTACCTAATTTCAAAACATTTGGTTTTGTTAAATTAATTATTAAATTTGTTATATTGCTATAAATTTGGAATGTTCTATACTTCATTTTAAATAAAATATTATCTATATATAAGCTATTCAATGTTAATCATTTTAAAATTTTACTTGATTATTTTTAATGACAAAAGAAACAATTCTTTTTTTTTTTTTTTTTTTTTCTGTTAATACAGACTGCTAGGTCAAAACGTACCTTCCAGAGAACTAAATTCAAAGTATTTACCCTTCATCAGATATTTAAAGGCAATGTTTAGAAGCTTTTGTAAACTTAAGAAAAAACATATTATTATAATTATAAATTTAATGAAACTAGAAAGGATTAACCTATGGATGGGTATAGATTATTATATTCATAAACTGATAACTCACTAAATAAAAGTATTAACCCTTTGCATAGAAACATTACTGAATGGAACATACAAATAAAGGTTTGTGCGAAGTATTCGCACGGCTCAGCTTGTATTTCATATTATCAATCTCGCCTTGTTGATGTTTTCACTTATATCATGTGATCATAATGCAGTTATTGTTACTTTTGTAGGAAATACAGTAATCTTTCATAAAATTAATAGAAAAAAGGTATGGATAGGCACTAGCGTATCCAGGATTTAATTTTGGGGGGCTTCAGCCCTAAAGGTTTTTTTTTTCATATATATAACGACAATTATTTTGGGGGGAAAAAAGATACTAACTACTTATATGAAGAGATGTTAAAGTGATTCTTGAAGTCCTATTAAATGTAATTACACGAACAATAATACATTAAGAGATAATATTTTAATATTTTTTCCCTAAATCATGGTTAAATTTTACTATTTTCCTCCCCCGTATATCCGCCTGTGTGGACAGGTGAAGTTTTGCTGAATTTATCACACTTTTTGTAATTTCGAAAAAAAAAATCAAAGTTTAAAAATTTGAAGCAAGACATTTTTTATTTTTCGATTGCAAGGAAAAATTGTATTTTAGAAAGGATAAAATCGTTTTTTTGAGATGCAAAATACAAATCTCAACTCTGTTTCTCCATAAAAAATATTTGAACCCACGTTGCTTCTTCGGTCGGTACAAATTGTTTCGGATGTACAAATTTGTAATCGATATCGATGTTTTTTTCAATCAACAAAAAATGTATACTTTATGAGTTATTCTTAGGAATAACTTTATAAAGTTTCTTTTCTTTATAACTTGTTTACCTGAAATTTAGGAGGAGTGTGACTATTTTTCCCAGTTGAAAGAGAAAAAGATTTTCAAAATAAGGGCTCAATCATTGGGTTTGATTGATGATGATGATGATGAATTAAAGAATATATAGCGCAGCGACAAAAAAACACCTTTGAAAATAACATATAATGATTACGCCGTAATGATTTTTCGTAGTGATCTAAATTTTTCTTTGTGTCATATTATTTTATTGTTCTTATTTTTTTATACATATTATATTATTATATGTATTTTATCCGTTTATCCACGTCATAGAAGAGGGAGAATTTAAATATAATTTAATTAGGAATATTTTAATTGCGAATTTTTCCTATACCTATTTCCATTGTGTCGAACAGTGGAGAATTTAAATTTAAATTTCAGCATTGATGTGACTAGGCTCTCCCTAGAGAAGGATCCAGAGTGAAATTAAGGGATTTTTTAAATAACAAGTCTTACGATAAATTAATATGATAAAAAATTGTCTGCAGATGGGATAAAATAAATCCCGAAATGTCACATATAAATTAATAAAAGAAATTTATGGGAGAGAAAAACTGTTTAGTTTTTCATATATGCATATATTGGTTTATTATTTTCAATAATGAACCATTATGATCGACCAAAAAATTAAAAAACTTAACCCTCTCTCAAAATTTGAGGTTTCACGTTTCAGGATGCGTAGAATTCGAAAAACGAATTAAAGTTTTTTTGTCTGTCCGCGCATTTTCTCCGAAACTACTGTACCGATTTTTTTCAAATTTGGATATAAAATTTGTAACCATCCCCCTAAAGTCATTTTGTTGACGCCCTTTAAATTTATCTATATAACATACTTCTACGAAAAGAAGCTAGAAAAAAAGTTATGAGGGATGGTAAAATTTAATTCCGAATATCTCAAAAAGTATACACTTTTTTGTCTATATTATATTATGTTTTTTTTTATTTTACGCAATTTCCTAAAAAACAAAAAAATCGTTAAAATCGGACAATTAGGAACAAAGATATGGTGTCCAGTTTTTTTATATGTTCTACTTTAAATGTTATATACTTAGCTTTATTTTTAAATTTTGAATGTGTCACTGAAGTAATGCTATTTTTTTTAGCATATTACTAATGATAAAAAAAAAAGTTTAGTCCAATAATTGGAATCACCTTTTATTTATTTTTCTTTGTAACTAGGAAGGTAATGTTACTTTAGATGTATAGTTGTTTGGAAATAATAAACCATTGTGAAATAATTTGCAGCGTTTTTTTTTATGTTTGACTACTTGTTTATTTCATTTTTTTTTTTTTTTTTTTTTACTACTTTACATAACAATCTAGATAAATGTTTTTTCCTCTTCTTTCATATTTTTCTTTTCCTTGCAATTCTTATCATTATATACTACTCCAATCTCCCATTCATCCAAGGAAGGATTAAATTATGTTTTTATACAGCATTGCTTCTTTTGGATTTATCCAGTAAGTACAGATGTAAATAAAATAATAAAGATATATAAAATTAAAGAAATTTCCATATGATTAGTATGGAAAGAGAAAATGAAAATTAATAACGAAAAGGCAAAATTAAAAAAAAATTAAAATATTTCAGTTATAATGCAATTGAATCAGGCATTAAGGTCGATTTCCAGGACCGTTGGAGTCCCTCACAACTGGACGGACATAGTGATCCACGGAAAACCAGATTGTGTTCGGTCGAAACCCATTAAGATTGTCGAAGGTTACATGAGTAAGTATGACGAGTTACGCCAAAATGAATACCTACTTAACATACAGCTGATGCAGCTGAAGTATCTCAGAAAATTGTTGAGAGAAGGGACGATAGGAAGAGAGTCAGGAGAGGCGAACAGGACCTTCACGAAGATCATGGAGAGGATCGAGGATATCTTACACGAAATGGCGGACAAGGAAGATTTATCGATTCCAGAAGACATTTGACAAAAACATACATGTTCCATTAACGTAATAAATGTTTACTAGTATTTCCCAGCGAGAACTTACTTTAGACAAAGTCCGAGAGACAGTGCAAAAAATTGACTTCTGAAGAAAATTTTGGAAGCATTTTTTTTAATATTCATAACATTTATATTAATTTAAAAATGAGAGTCTACAATTCATGCTACTAGAAAAAAACACGGCTGATTTAAAGAATATTAGGCCATTAATTTGAGATTCGAAACGGGAAATTTATTGCGATAAGTGTAAAAAAAGGTTTTTATTTTTTAATTTGTATATCTGTGTTTAAGGGAGTGGGGTAACTCAGTGCTAGGGCACTGAGCTTCCAATGCTCGAGGTACCAGGTCCGAATCCCGGCTCATGGCAGAAAATTGGCCGTAGGGAGACCCTCCTGGGCCATACCCAACCTCTACAAAGTGGGCACCCTTAATTATAAAATTGATTAGGGGGAAAACTAACGGTTGAACGTGAACCTGGCCCCATCCCCTCCCTGAAGAACCGTTACGGCTTAGTAACAGTACTTTCCCTACATAGTACTGAACCCAAGACCCTTCATACTTCATACTTCATACATTCAAGACCCATCAGTGGCACAGTTGTTTTTTTTATTTGTTTTTTTATTATTATTATTTATATATATATATATATATATATATATATATATATATATATATATATATCTGTGTTTAAATATGTGAAAATAACTTAGGGAAAACCTTTTTCAGCCAAAAAATGCCACATTTTTTCAATCATTTATTCAATTTCCACTTCTCTCTTCGCATCCTACAACACCTTCCGGATAGTGTCATGCATGTTGAGGTTCTTCCGTGTAACCGCATAATGTGTACAGCCCATGACTATATGGTTCACAGTTATAACGGAGCCACGTCGATGCAGGTAGGTGGTTCTCGACCCTGGATTAGGTAGCTGTGCGAAAATTCACAGTTACCAATTCTGAGAAGGCACTGGGTTATTTCCTCTGGTTACTGGTCTGCTACTAGTACACCATTTTGTTGTATTTGAATTAGCCAGTGTCTATATTATGAAAAATCTGGTGTGTCCACTCACACGACTTTCCTACCTATTTCAGAAAAGTATTGATATCTTTACGTATGACCATCAAGAAACCAAAAATAAAAAATTAATTAGATTTATTTTCCTGAAAATAAATCAAAGAAAAGATCTGAGTACGATTTATTTGATAAACTAAAGCAATGTAAACCGGCTTAAGGTAGATCAGTGTAAAAATTTCAATATCCTCTAAAATTATTGATCAGAAACTTTTTGCCATAGTCTAATTTTATCAAACAATAATTTCTGTAAAAGTAGAGGAAATAGTGAAACTTGTGTGATGCGGGCAACAGATTTTCTTGCTTTCACTTAGTTATCTTTTTTCTCTCATTCAACCCTTTCTGACGCCAGGATATGAACTCGTAATCTTCCATTGGGAATTGAATAACTGTAACTTCGTTAATAGTTGTCCGAAATGGACGATTCTTATATAGTTTTGTAGGGAATTCCTTTACCTTTCAAGAGACATATATATATATATATATATATATATATATATATATATATATATATATATATATATATATATATATCTGTGTTTAAATATGTGAAAATAACTTAGGGAAAACCTTTTTCAGCCAAAAAATGCCACATTTTTTCAATCTTTTAATGTTTTTCCATCTATAACTCTTAATAAGAAAAACTAGGACTTATTTTTAACTGACGTCTTACTATGAATTCTCATAATAGATTGAAAATACATGAAACTGAAAAACGCTCTAAACTTCCAATATTCTACAAAAACTGAAATACATTACCATCATCAGACCCATTTGGACATAAGCTTTAGGCTCCACAAAAACATCGAACTCTAACAGTATCCAATCAATTAAATCCAAAATTCTTAGTAAAATCCTAAATACTCCTTATTACGTCACAAATAAAATTATTCATAACGACCTGAACATTCCTCTTGTTACAAATTTTGCCTGAAGTTTTTTATTATTAAACTTATTTATTGAAAAATATTACAATCTGTCTCTATGACATTTATAATAGAATTCACAGATCACATTCACACTCTGCCTGAATTAGATATTCTTCTTTTAATACCAAACTTTTAGATTATCTTAAATCTATAATTCACAACCTTTCATCCAAAACAATTACTGATAATCCTCCGAGGCGTCTGAAAAGAAGATGGCCAAGGGACCTCCTAAATTAATTAATTTTTGGTTAGCTTCTTCACAAATACTTACTAAGGTTTACTAGTTTTAAATATGTATACAGTTGTAAATATCAAAAAATGAATAAAAACAAAATTAGCTTAAAAATTTCTGTTGTGTTGATTGCTATAAAATTCTAATAAATAAATGAAAAGAAAATCAAGATTAAAAGATAATAAATTTTTATTTATAGGTTAATTAACACAAGTAAAATTTTAAATGGGCAATAAAATGCATAAAATTAAATCGTACACTTATCTAGAATATTGACTGACTTCCAGTAGACATAAACGTAACGCATTAATGGCTGTAGACGGTCCCAACTAAATTTACTTAATTTTTTTTTTAAATTAAAGTCCTGGCGTTAATTAAAAATAAATTAAATAGTATCTTATGTTTTACTTATAATCACTAACGGATTCAGGATTTAATTTTTGGGGGAGGGCTTCAGCCTGAAAGATTTTTTTTGTATGTATATATTATGCATATATATTATGTATATTTGTATCGAAAGTAGTGTTGCCCAAAATCGGTCTTGGTCTTGCACGTAGCAAGACCAAAACCAAGGCCTCCTAACTGTTGCAAGACGATTTTTTCGATAAAGAATCGAAGATAAAAGAATAGATTTTTTAAATAAAAATTAAGGCAAAATAATTACTAATACTTGACAATCTTAGTTACTATATGTTAATAATTGATATAACCAATATACTTTTGCATTTAACTCCTCTAATTTTTCATTCGGGCTTAGTTAGGTTTCTCCTATCTAAAAAATTACAGTAATATCTCTATAGCAATAAGCTAATAAGTAACTGCAATACTGTTGCGAGACTCTTGCGCAAGACCAAGACCATGACCAAGACTGAGTTTGCAAGACCAAGAGTGGTCTCGGTCTCGAATTCGGGTAACACTATTCTGAAGAAAGAAAGAAACTAACTACCTATATGAAATGGTGTTTAAGTGACACTTTAAGTCCTATTAAATGTAATTAGACGAACAATAATACTTTTAGAGATAATTCTTTTCATTAAACATGTTTATATTTTAACATTTTGGAGGGGAGCTTCAGCCCGAAACCCTCTCCCACCCCCTCGAAGATCCGCCTGTGCTAATAATTCAGACAATAAATTAAGTACATACATTTCAGACAGTCACACATGGCGGCAGTATAATATTTTAACATGTTAGTTTAATAGAATGTCTATGGAAACTGAAATATTAATTATCAATGACCGGAGAAAAGATAATAAATTTTATAAAAGTCTAGGACAATTTTCTTAACACTTTGTTAACAAAAGGGCTATCTTTCTTGTATTTTTGTTTCTATTATCAAATTTTACAATAACAGAACGCTTTTTACTTTCCTATTTATACTAGCTAAGGAAAGTGTTGCGATCGGGTCAAATTTCCGATATGCTGTTTTCGACGGATCTATACGTTTCAGACTCCCTGGGTTCGAAACTTTTTAGCCATTGGTCTGTCTGTCATACTAATTTTGTTTATATTTTTGACTACTGGTTGGGTGCTCCATGACACCCAACCAGTAGTCAAAAATATAAAAAGAAGCAACAAAATTAGTATGACAGACAGACCAATGGCTAAAATGTTTCGAACCCAGGGACTCTGAAACGTATAGATCAGTCGAAAACCGCATATCGGAAATTTGACCCGATCGCAATAATTTCCTTAGCTAGTAAAAATAGGAAAGTAAAAAGCGTTCTGTTATTGTAAAATTTGATAATAGAAAAAAAAATACAATAAAGATAGCCCTTTTGTTAACAAAGTGTTGAGAAAATTGTCCTAGACTTTTATAAAATTTAATATCTTTTCTCCGGTCATTGATAATTAATATTTTAGTTTCCATAGACATTCTATTAAACTAACATGTTAAAATACTATACTGCCGCCATGTGTGACTGTCTGAAATGTATGTACTTAATCTACCTTAAGCCGGTTTACATTGCTTTAGTTTATCAAATAAATCGTACTCAGATCTTTTCTTTGATTTATTTTCAGGAAAATAAATCTAATTAATTTTTTTTTTTTGTTTCTTGATGGTCATACGTAAAGATATCAATACTTTTCTGAAATAGGTAGGAAAGTCGTGTGAGTGGACACACCAGATTTTTCATAATATAGACACTGGCTAATTCAAATACAACAAAATGGTGTACTAGTAGCAGACCAGTAACCAGAGGAAATAACCCAGTGCCTTCTCAGAATTGGTAACTGTGAATTTTCGCACAGCTACCTAATCCAGGGTCGAGAACCACCTACCTGCATCGACGTGGCTCCGTTATAACTGTGAACCATATAGTCATGGACTGTACACATTATGCGGTTACACGGAAGAACCTCCACATGCATGACACTATCCGGAAGGTGTTGTAGGATGCGAAGAGAGAAGTGGAAATTCTAATGGATTTCTTGAAAATAATTGGATTCAACAAGAGAATTTGAGAAGCGTGAGTGAGTAGAGGATTGCTAATGACTCTAGCGAGTAGAGGCAAATATATAATTCTAACAATAATTTAAATTAGAATCAAATAATCGTTAAGTATATATAGAATTCGGACCGAAGAAGGATGAGTTAACCGGAGAGTTCAGACGGTTACACAACGCCGAATTGCGTGACCGTCAACTGTATCCGGGTAATATAATTGAGGTAATTTCGTCGCGGCGAATCAAATGGGGCTTGTAAAGTTTTTAGTTGGGCTTAGTAACGAGAGAATTCCGAAAAGATTAATATTTGCTGTGCCGAATGGTAAGCGTCCGAGGGGTAGACTGAA